GCTGCGCCACCAGGGAGGGCCACATTTTTTAACAAAATATTTTTGCATAGAAGACATAGGGTGTGAGCAAGTGGCACTAGGGCAAGGTGAGTGAGAGCATTCACCAGAGACAGAGTGGGGAGCAGAACAGGTGATTTAGTGAAATACACTACTGAAGGGAACAGTGGATGAGACGGAAGTCTGCTGCACCATATGTGGATCAGCTCCCTGGCTGGGGATGGAACTCAGGCCATAGTGGTGATAGGGCTGAGACCTTAATCCCCAGGCCACCAGGGAGGTCCCTCAGTTCTTATTTGTAAGATGGGTACCTGCACTAGCACTTGTAAAGATTCATGAATTAACATACATTAAGCTGTTGGAAGTACCAGAGTGTTCACACTTGGTTAGTGCAAACCACTTCTTTTTGGCCCCTACTTACCTGCCCAACATCTCCATGAATATCTCTGTAATACTGTTTCTCCATTATTTGTTTATTATTAGCTGTCATGATACTGAAGTTATATGAGGGCAAAAGCTGGATCTTAATGATCATGGTAGATTTGTACCTAACAGTGACCCTGCCTCATGGCAGGTACGTAACAGATGTTACTTGAATGAAGAAACAGAAGATTAAAGATGCTGTTAAAAGTATTAAGTAAGGCCCTCCCTGGTGGCGCAGTGGGTTAAAGCACAGCACTAAGAAGCTAAAGCCACTTCCGCATGAGTTCCATCCCCGCTCCGGAGGTGACCACATGGCGTGGCAGACCTCTCTTGACTCCGCCCGCTGCTCCCCTCAGCAGTGTACTTCATCAGTTTACCTGTTCTGCTCCCCGCTTTGTCTCTGGTGAATCCTCTCACCGCCCCTGCACCTCTGGCCTGTACCCCAGTTCTGTATGCATAAATAAATAAATCTTAAAAAAAGAAGTATTGGGCCCTCCCTGGTGGCGCAGCGGGGTAAAGCACAGCACTAAGAAACTAAAGCCACTTCCGCATGAGTTCGATCCCCGCCTGCCTGGGAGGTGACCACATGGCGTGGCAGACCTCTCTTGACTCCGCCCGCTGCTCCCCTCAGCAGTGTACTTCATCAGTTTACCTGTTCTGCTCCCCGCTTTGTCTCTGGTGAATCCTCTCACCGCCCCTGCACCTCTGGCCTGTACCCCAGTTCTGTATGCATAAATAAATAAATCTTAAAAAAAAAAAAAAAAAAAGAAGTATTAAGTATATTTGATCCAGTTACTCTATGTATGGGTGTGTTTGTGTGTGCGTATTTGTAATTGAATTATTTAATGGAGATATATATAGAGAGGAAATAAAAATCACAATCTAGAAGAAGAAATATCTGCACACTCATGTTAACCTCACTATTTATGATGGACTAGACGTGGAAACAACCTAAGAGTTCATCTACAGGTAAACAGAGTTAAAGTCCGGGAGAACAGGTCCTGATGGAGGAGACAGAAGGATAGGCACAGAGCAATGGTGTCCAACATGGAAAGTACTTGACAGGAAAAGGAAGGGGAGCAGCCTCTTGTAAAAAATGGAGAGGAAGCACACGTGAGAGGGAGTGAAGGCCAGAAGCTTAGAGATTAACTGGGGGCTGATTAGGCGATCGCTCCCTAATTTTTTATGGGACATAACTAAGAAGCAGCCAATGAGGTGTTACATGTGCTGCCAAACTCCTGAACCTGATAATCATCAGGATTTGTGATTAAACCTTGAGCCCGAAGGGTTTTTCTGGGATTAATAAGTGGCCTCTGCTCTATAAGCTTGTAGTTTTGTGATTTACATTTTGTGTAAATCTTTGCTATTTCTACCTACCCATTTCTACTTGATAATTGGTTTTGTATCAATGATATACTTTTTGGAAGCAGGGCATTTTTAGCCAGTTTTAGGACAAATAATAATTGAACTAAATGAAACAGTTTAAAAAGCAAAGAGAAAGGCGGCATATTAAAATAAAAGATGATTAGGTAACTGAGGACAAATTTATAGGTATAGACCCATTTTTGGGAGTGTAAGAACTTCATGATCTCAACTTAAGATACTATATTTGTAATTTTATAATACTCATTTAAAAAGTGTGTATGCAGGCCTCTCTAGTCCCCACTAAGGATTAAATCTCAGCACAATGAAGTTATCCACAGTCACTGCAGCATCAGTTTGATCCCCGGCCAAGGAGCTGACCCACCGGGCGCAGCAGACCTCTCCTGTCCCGCACACTGCTAAGCCCCA